AGCAGGATGAGCTAATCCCTGCCCAAGAGGAGGCACTGACTCTTGGGAGAAGCACAGACAGGAAGGTGCACCCATTGTTGACAGGAGAGAGAGCAGCCAATAGGGTTAGGATGCAGTGGATCAGGAGACTCGGTGGTGGATGGTGGAAATCTTTTCTGATTACCTCCCTTAGTGAAGTGAGACTATCAAATGAAAGTGAGGAGAATGGAGGATGATAGAGGTCTGAAAAGACAAAAGAAGATGTAACACCGGCTGAGAAAGCAAAGGGTGACATAACCAGGGAAATGTTACAGGATTCCTGAGGATCACTAAAAGCCTGTTTGAGGTTTGTGGCCATTGGTTTTGAATGAGACAAGTCTGCAACATTGTGTGTGTGTGTGTGTGTGTGTGTGTGTGTGTATTAAGCTTTTATATATTTAATATGAGAGAGACAGAGAGAGAGAGCAGGAGAGGGGCAGAGAGAAAGGGAGAAATCCCAAGCAGGCTCCGCACTGCTAGCACAGAGCCTGATGCAGGGCTCAAGCCCACAAACTGAGATTATGATTGGAGCTGAAACCAAGATGCTTAACCGACTGAGCCAAACCACCACAACCAGGAATTCCAGTACAAACCTGCGGTAAGCAGGCATGTGTGATTAACCACAGTTTAGACTCTGCCCTGTGATTAGGACCAAGGGAAAGGCAAGGGTATCGAGGGTGGGTGCAAGAGAGTGAGTTCAATGATGACATGTGGACTCCAGCTGGGTAAAGAAGGAGGGAAGAAGTAAAGGGTGGTGTTGGCTTTGGAAAGATGACAGATAGGGTCAATGGACTAACCAGAGGCCCCAGTGGCACTGCAGACTGTTGGGAGGCACTGCAGTGGCACTGCAGACTGTTGGCAGAAAATGAGATGGAATGGTAGGAGGTGGCTATCATAGAGAGAAATGTTTGCAATTGAAACTTGGGTGGAAATATTGGCAAAGACAGAGTTTACTGGATGCATGACTAGGAGGATATGGTGGTTAAGCTGATTTAAAGGTGGTTGGGAAGCTCAGGGGCAAATGCAGCGTGAAAAAATGGGAAAGTGAATGCCAAAATGGAATTATAACTGAATTAACTCTTTTTCTTTGTGTGTTATTCTATTTCCCAAATATTCCACAATGTGCATATATTACTATATAAGCAGAAAAAAAAGTTATCAGGTAAAATCAAAGATATTACTCAAAGATAAAAAGGAAAAAAATCCCTTTATTTTATTGGTGAGTCAATTACTACTATGTACAAGTACCCAGTCCACAAAGCTCATAAAGTTATTCCCGTTCTAGAGTTGTACCAGTACTTCCAAGCATCTAACAGAATCATTTAAAATGAGACCAAATGACAGATACGAGTTTCACAGTGTATGTACTCTGTTTCCAAAAAAGCCTACTTTAAAATACATATATATTTGTACTTGCTATATTTGCATTTGCATTAAGAAATCCTGAAATTATCTCTGGGATGCAAAGGTGGGAGGACTGGGCATTTAGTGGACAGAAATGCAGGCAACACTTATCTTGAATACCTCTTTGTATTTTCTTATCGTTGAACAATGTAAAGATAATACCTATTCAAAAATAGATTTAAAAAGTAAAAATTAATACAATTTAAAAATTTTAATAGAAAAATCCTCTTTTAAAAATTCATATATGCTAAAGTTATGTTATAAAATGCTTCTTTGTATTAGCAAATCAGTCTTTCTTTAAACAAAGAATTTCCCCCTAGTACTTTTTTAAAAGCCTTCCATTTTTAGGAATTCAGCTACTGTTCAAAGATACAAATGTGATATTCACATCCTTAAAAGCAAACTGCAGACTTTTTTTTTCCCTTTTTAATTTTAAAGTGAGCAGGGGAAAGGGGTAGAGAGAGAGAGACAGAGACAGAGAGAGAGAGAATCTCATGTAGGCTCCATGCTCAGTGCAGAGCCCAATGAGGGGCTGGATTCCACAACCCTGGGATCAAGAGTCAGACGCTCAACCGACTGAGTCACCCAGGTCACCCTGCAGACTTCTGAGGAGAGCCAGATCCTACCAGAAAGAAAGCTAAATAACTTGTCACATGAAACATGTACTTAACCAGAAGAGAGTTACATGTCTTTGGTATGGCTCCAGAGTTTAGAATGAGAGGCAATGGATTTAAGTATGTTCTAAGCAGGTAGATTCAAGTCACCACAGGGAAAAGAACAATTAAAGCTGTCCAAAAGTAAAACCAGGCGGCAAGATTGCAAATCAGGAAATACACAGGATTGCAAATGTTCCACTAACAGCTGTAAGACTTTAGTAAGCCTTTTTACACCCTGAAGGCTGGACCATGGGTTCTCTAGGGTCCTTCCAAGCTCCCCAGTCCATGGCTTTGTATGTAGTGTGAGTTCTCTCTGTTGAGAGTTAAGCAGTGGTTGAGGGATGATGGTCTAGGAGTCTATCATGTCTTAAGAGGATGAACTGGAGCAGGTTTCAAACAGATTAACCACTGGTGCCTGACAGTAAATCTGAGGACCTCTGGCCATGGACCCCAATCCATGCTACATTAAAAAGCTCAATGCAAAGTTCATCACTTTCTATGGGCACCAGGATGTGAGCACAAAAGTTGCTCAAATATGATTATGCAGAAGAGCCAGGATGCATCCCTATTAATTTTTAAGATTATCACCAAAAAGGAATTACAACATTTCAAAGTGAAGGTGGAGAACTCATAGACCCTGAGAATAACTCCACAAACATCTAAGGACCCAAGAATTCCAAGGTTGAGAACAACTTCACTAAATCACTCATAAAGTATCTGACCTAGAAGATTTTGTGAATCAAATATGGCACAAAAGTTATCCACAAAATGAAGTAAACTTCTAATTTGGTCTACCTCAGTGGAGACTTGATCATTGATTGATAAGGGGCTGCTATTCAGCAGCATTCACCATAGTGTTATACATACTGGTCAATGTGTTTTGATTGGTCAGTAACCATATTGTACCAGCTGCTTGTATGTTTGAATTACCTGAGCACTGGCTAAGGGAAACCCTGGTGATATCACAACTGCCCACTGCCATGGTGAAACCTTGTAGCAGAGGCCACTAGGATGCTGTGGTAACTAATATCTCTAATAATAATCAACACCAAGAGTATCATTATTAAGTAACTAACATTTGTATAATATTCTATTAAAATTTTCCACGTCCTTCATTTTGTTTGGTATAAGCCCAACTTTTGAGAAAAAAAAAAACAAAGAAAAAATCTAACTACAGCTCTTGTAGGTTGAGCAAAACTAGGCAAAATATACAGAAACCTCACTGGGTCTGCACATTTCTTTCATAAATGTCTGCACAGACAATGGCGGTAGTCTCTGCTGAATAGCTGTGACCAAATCACTTGCTGTGCTCCACTCTAAATTATCACACACGTGGGCGCGCACACACACACACACACACACACACACAGACGAGGGAAAAATGTGTAGATGCTCCATTTAGGAGAAATGACTGAAGGATGGTTGTACTCCTACTGTCTGCATAGGTGTGTGACTTACAGTCATAAATGTCTAGTGACCCCTAAAGTGCCTGCTGGAGAACTCTGAAAAGAAAATTCATGGGAAAGTTTCCTGATCCTAGAACTTAACCTTGCACAACCACTAAGTTCCAGCAAAACAAAAATACAAAATAGACCACAGGACCGGGACTTATACATAAAACCCCAAATGTTGCTGAGGAAGGAGAGTTCATTAGCAGTGTTTTGTCCAGCTGGATTCAGAGCCAAGAGCTAGCCTGCTGCTGCCGGGGACATTGTGAATCAGTCCGGGGAAAACCAACATTTCCCTAAGAGGACATCGGTGGGTATTAGTATTGATTTGTGGCTGAAATTCAGCTGGAATTAGACACAAAGGAACTCAAACTCTATTTCCGTTAGGTGACTGCCAGAGGTATCTGCCATGTATAAAGGTCTTGTATATACTTCACAACAACTAGATTTAAATGGATTTATATATTAACCTATCCTTATCTTAAATAGGTAATTTTTCTCTACTTTATAGATAAGGCTCGAAAAACTAGCTTGACTTAGTGTCTCAGAGCCAGAAAGTCACAAGGCAAAACAGAAACCAAAGGCTTCTATCTCCAGATTCTTTGCTCTTTGCTTTGTACCACACCATCTTTCACTTGCAGAGAAGGACTATGAAGTGGCCAAAAGCTGTGTATATTCAACTGGGGAAGGACTGTAATCACCAGCTGTTCGCTTTGACTTGTATATACAAAGGTTCTGGAAGATCATTTGACTTACACGTTAATAATTACAAAATCAGGCATCACTGAGAGTTATTCTTCTTCATTCCTGGATATCTTTCATGGATGTCTACATATCCAAGGAAATGTTCCTAAAAAGCCCTGTTATGTCCCATGACATTCCAGTTCACTCAAGTGGGAAATAAAACCCTGTAAACAATAACTGGCTGGGGGACTATAGCAAATGACTCTGCCTCCTTGGGCCTCAACCTCTTCATCAATAAATAAAGGCCTTAGGTACAGGACTTTCAATCTCCCTCCCTTAGAAAATAAAAAAGAAAAATTCCTCTTGAAATTGAAAAAAAAAAGTTCACATACATAAAGATATTCAAAACCTTAATGTAAAAAGTAGCAAGGCTTCCATACAGAACCACACTCCCCACCAAGGCACAGCCAGACAACTCTCTAAGGAGAGGACAACAACTTCTGTGAATAGCTTCATCCCTAAGGCTGTCTCTCTCCTCAATTCTTTGGGCCAGAGAAACAGAGCATGTTGGAGACAAGGCAGGGGCTGTTGGCTTTAGTCAGCACAGTGCAGCCACCAAAAGAACCTCTGGCCAAGAGAGAGATGCTATAGTGCAGACTGAGTCCTGATTCAAGCTTCACCTGAAGCCAGCACTACCCAATTGTGTGTTTTCAGATGAATGAGGCAATAAATTCCTTTCTTTGGTTGGTGTGATGTGGGTGTTCTGTCATCAGCACCTGAAAAGTTCTGATCGACACAGAATTTAACCTCAGCCTGTAAAGTCTCTGATCCCAGAGTGGCTGAGTTGTCTCTCTTCATACTGAACTATCATCTTCCTAGAGCCAAACCTGTTCCCAACCCAAGATAAAGAGTTCCTGTGGGAACACCTTCGTTATACTAAAGCTGGAAATGGGCATCATATAGACAAAAATTTCACCCCAGCAGATGTGTAGATGAGAAGCCTTAGGAAGTGGAGAGCAGAGAAAGGGTCAATGAACCATGTGTGATCTCATCATTATCCAATGTCCAAAACAAGGCTATGCAAAAGGGACACAGAATGTTCACAAAGGGTGGTCATACAGAGAGGAAATCAAAGCTCAGTTGAGGTTAAGAATAGTGGTTCTTTAGAGCTCAAAGGAATTTTAAAATGTATCTGGTACTACCTTTTACCTCACAGATACACAAACCAAGGCCAATTGCTTTTTCTCAGGGCACAAAACTAATGTCAAGACTACAACCAAAGGCTTCAATAAAGAAAGTGTTCTAACAATTAGACTTGTCAAAAATAAAAAAAAAAATTTTTAAAGAATGTGTTGAATCAGAAAATAGGGCATTTCCTATTCGAATGACAGGCTCACCATCTATCAATGATTCCTATGGTGGGTGGGAGATTGGAAGAGATGACCAAAGTTTCCTTTCAAGTCAAAGAGTCATTGAGAACTCTCTACTACAATAAAAGTTTTTCCTGTGGCACAGGGAATACTAGTTTTTTCCGTAGTGTATAAGCAGGTTGGGGCATCTGTCTCTTTGTTCCTTCTTTGTTTGCTTGTTGACTCACATCATTGTTGACAGCAGTGAGGATGGATAAGATATCTTCATGTCTGCAGGCAGATAAGAAAAAATATTTTCAATCAGGAGACAGAAATCACATACCAGGTCATACAAAGAAACCCTAAAACATGTGGCTTCTTCCTAGTCTAACAGGGCAAAATTCTAACTGGAATCCTGTCAAATATAAAGAAATTCTTATTTTGAAATTAAAAAAAGAAATGCTAAATTATACAAAAGTTTTCAATATTACATTTAATGTTTAAGAACACTATAATAGACACATCTTGCATTTTAACTTTTTTTAGTTTATTATTTATCTTGGGGAGGGTGTGGTGGGAAAGAAATTGAGAGACACAATCCCAAGCAGGCCCTGTGCTGAGAATGTGGAGCCTGGTGTAAGGCTCATACCCACAAACCTTGAGATCATGAGCTGAGCCAAAACCAAGAGTCGGATGCTTAACCGATTGAGCCAGCCAGGTGGCCCTCTTTTTTCTTTTAAGCAATCTACACCCAACATGGGGCTTGAACCTGACCCTGAGATTAAGAGTGTCACGCTTTTCTGACTGAGCCAGATGGCTGCTCCACAACTTACATTTTAAGGTCATTGGTCCACAAAGGAAGGTTGCACATAATTATTTTTCCATGTTTCTCCTCCAAGCTGGTGGATATAGACAGACACACAGACAGACAGATGATAGATGGATAGATAGATAGATGATAGAATAGATAGGTAGGTGATAAAGATAGAGAAGGACTCTACTATTTTTTTTAAGTTTATTTTGAGAGAGAGTGCACATGTGCACAAGTTAGGGAGGAACAGAAAGAGAGAATCCCAAGCAGGCTCCGCCCTGTCAGCACAGAAAGCCTGACACAGGGCCCAAACCCACAAACCATGAGATCATGACCTGAGCTGAAGTCAAGAGTTGGACGCTTAACCGATTGAGCCACCCAGGTGCCCCAAGGGACCCTACTATTACTAATGCCCTCTCTATTCTTGGTTTGAGGAGGATACAAAGATAAACACGACACAAATTTCTAGGCACTTCAAATGCAGACATGAAGCATGTACCAAATATGGTATATACACAAAATGCATACTATAAGGCAGAATGTGATCAATACTATATGAAAAGTGGGCAAAGTTCCACTGCAAGTTCAGAGGAAAAAGAGCACTTCCTGGATTCCATACAGGAGGTAGCTTGTGAGCCTGGGCTTGTAGGACATTTAACATTTACCAAAATGTTCCAGGGATGGGCAATTCATACCACTGGAAAAAAAAAAAAAAAAAAAAAAAAAAAAGCAAGGCTCTGGAAATAGAACTCAGGTTTGAAGCATAGTTCCATCACTCGTGGACCTGTGTGGTCTTAGGCACAGTCACTTATTTCACACTAAATATGCCTCTGTTTTCTCAGCTGTAAAATAAGGACCATAAGAATACCCATTTTAGGGACTGCTATGAGAAGTAAATGAAGTAAATTTATGTAAAGCACATAGAAAACTGGCTATAATATTCCACTGACCATCATTTTTATTATTATTAATATTGCCACTACTTATCCTCATCATCATTGCTATGTTCAAGGGACAGCAGGCCTTGCCTGGTTCTTAGTTCTTACATCCTGTCTCACACCAGCTGTTCTCTCTGCCTCTGGATCTTCCTGTGGCTGACTCATCACCACTCAGTCTCACTTGAAATATCACCTCTACCAAGAAGCCTTCTCAGGTAGCTCCCTGCCCCATTCTCTACAATATCTTGTTTGCTTTCTTCACAGCAGGTATCACTTCCTGAAATTATCTTATTAATTTAAATATTTACTTTCTTACCTTTACTTACTCACTGGTCTATAAGCTCCATGGAGAAGACATTCTGTCTCCCTTATTCATAACTTACTCCTAGCCCCTAGCTCGGTACCCAGGACAGTACGCACACAGTAAGTCCTTGATAAATCTGCCTTGTCCTCAAAGTCATAGGACATTGGTTTTTGATGGCTATGGTGGGGATGGAGGGATTAATGAAGAAGATGGAAAAGCTAAGGTTGACTCGAGGTTCCAATCCTGAATTCCTAGTTCCAAATTCCCAGAACACTTTGACCATTCCTTAAAATGTGAATTCAGGAGAAGAAGGCAGATAGAGAGGGCTGGAAGATGAATTGAGGACTACGCATACTGAATATGAGCTCCAAGGGCAACAAGGAGGTGGGATGTCTGGTAGGCTGCAAGAAATGTATTGGACCGACCCTAAGAATGAGATTCACTCAGTCATTCATTGGTCCAGCAAATATTTATCAAGCTCAACAATATATCATCAGGTACTGTGTCAAGTGCTAAGGACATAAAGTTGAATGAAATAACTCCGCTCTCCAAAAACTCAGAGATTAATGGACCAGAGATGGCAACTTTGGAGACATTTTCATGGAGGTCAAGCGGCCTCCAGGGTATAGCTGAAGCTGCCCAGAGCTATAAAGAACATAGAATGGGGTACAGGGCAGAACTGCAATGAAGGCCCATTTCCAGGGTACCAGGTAAGGAGCACGTGGTAGATACAGATGGAAAGTTGTCAGAGCAGTGGCAGGAGATCAAAGGTATAATGCCAAAGGCAATACATAGGCACTCAGTAAACATGAGTGACTGATAAATAAATGAAGGAACAAATAAAAGGCCCTCTTACCTTTATTTATACTGTTTCCTTCTGCCCAGCATTTCTTTCATCTCAATTATTTACCTAACATCTATTTGTCATCTCTAGAAGCTTTCCCTGATCCTTCAAATCTGGGTGAGGTACTAGTTCTATGTGTTTCCATAACACCTATGCTGTATAATGTGTATTTGCCACAGGGAATGCTCTTCCCCCATCTATTTTTTCTCTCTAGACTGTGAGCAACTCGAGGGCAGGGACTGTTTTTTTTTTTTAATTCTGTATCTTCATTTCCAGTTATATGCTAGTGCTCAACATAGGTTTATTGGATGGATAAATGTTTGGATGGATGGACAGATGTTTGGATGAATGGATAGATGGATGACGGATGAATGGATGGATAGATGGGACAGATGGATGAGTAGACTGATGGATGGATGGACAGACAGATGCATGGGTGGGTATGTGAAGAGACAGACGAACAGGTAGGTAGATAGATGGATGGACAAACAGGTAAGTATATAGTACAACTCAAACATCTCACCTCGGGACCAAGTTCTTCAGATTATTATACAGAGATTGAATATACCAGCTGCCTTCCTCTACATGCCGAAAGGATACATAGCCAGGGACAGTGGCCAGGCCAAGAAGGAAATCTGCATCACTGGGAACACTGGCCAGGAGGGAAGGGGTAGGAGGTGAATGCTCGGAATTTACAGCATCTGCTTCAATGGATACAGAAGGTTGTATCTCTTCACCCTGACAGGCCTGGATAAAAAAGAGTTTGGGTTTATGAGCCAGGCCAGGGCACTGCTGGGCTGTGAAATGAGACATGATCTCCCGAATGGGAACAAGGGCCTCATCTGAGGAGTAGACAGCTCCAAATTTCCCATGGGTCAGAACACAGAACACAAAGCAATCTCCATCAGCATGGCCTGGATGACTCTTATATTCCTTCAGAACCTCATCTAGACGTCCTTTGGTCACATTATTATATATATGTACGCTGAACCCCAGCCACTGAAACACACGCTCCAAGCACTCTGTTAAAAAAAAAAAAAAAGGAAAAAAAGGGGAAATAATAAAATGAGATAGAGTAAAATGAAACAAAATTAAGGGGTGGAACAATGTTAATAGTTATAAAACTTGCACAGCAAGTAGCCTGAAGCTTGGGTTTTTATTTTACTTTCATAACAATAAAATTTTATTATTTACCTACCTTCTTATAGTACCCACAGCACTATCACAATGGTCCTGAGAGTCAGCAGAGGCCACAGTTTCATCCTACTTCACAGATGAGGAAGCCGAGGCCCAGGACTCACCCACAGTCACAAACTAGTTTGTGGTGGAGCCACAGCTCAAACCCAGTTTTTTTGTTGCCGATGCACCATGCTTTCCCCCAACCCACAGAGCTGTACATGGTCAGGGACTCCTTTTGCTCTTTCAACAGACTGGTAATACCCCAAGTGCTATGGTCTTCATGTTTGTGTCCCCCTAAAATTCATATGTTGAAATCCTAACCCCCAAGGTGAGGGTATGAGGAAGTGGGGCCTTTGGGAGGTGATCAGGTCGTGAGGGGAGAGCCCATAAAGAGACCCCAGGAAAAAAAAAAAAAAAAAGAGACTCCAGAAAGCTCTTCTGCCATGTGAGGACACGGCACAAAGACTGCCACCTAGGAAGTGGGCTTTCACCAGGCATCAAAATGTCAGAGCCTTGATCTTGGACTTCCCAGCCTCCAGAACTGTTAGAAATAAATGTGTGTCATTTATAAGCCATCTAGTTTATAGTATTTCATTACAGCAGCCCAGGTAGGCTAAGACACCTGGGATATACAAGAGGCTTAGAACATTTATATTATCCTTACATTTAAATTTTTTTAATGTTTATTTATTTTTGAGACAGAGAGAGAAGGAGAGAGAGACAGAGCATGAGTGGGGGAGTGGTAGCGAGAGAGGGAGACACAGAATCCAGGAAGGCTCCAGGCTCTGAGCTGTCAGCACAGAGCCAGATACAGGACTCCAACCCACAAACCCTGAGATCATGACCTGAGCTGTAGTCAGATGCTTAACCAACTGAGTCATCCAGGTGCCCCATATCATCCTTACATTTAAATGGAAGATAGGGGCGCCTGGGTGGCTCAGTCGGTTAAGCATCCGACTTCAGCTCAGGTCACGATCTCGTGGTCCGTGAGTTCGAGCCCCGCATTGGGCTCTGGGCTGATGGCTCAGAGCCTGGAGCCTGCTTCCGATTCTGTGTCTCCCTCTCTCTCTGCCCCTCCCCCGTTCATGCTCTGTCTCTCTCTGTCTCAAAAATAAATAAACGCTAAAAAAAAAAAATAAATAAATGGAAGATAAAAAATTACAGAAAGAAAATATGAAAATTTAAAAAAAATGATTTTAAGATCCCCAACTTGCATCTTATAGACTATTCAGACTTTCTTACCAGCATCTCTATGAGTCCCTGGTCGATCTGAGAGTGAGGTAAAGCTGTGGTTATTGACAACAACACAGTGGCCTCTGTGCTTCCGATCCATTCTGTACACAGTTGCTTCCTTGAAAGAAGAAGAAATAGAATGACTTATTAGGGAATCCTCATTTTAAGGGTTTAATGTTTCTAACCAATCACTTCATTTATCAGTACCAAAGGCTGAGAGTTCTCAAGGCTATGGTCCTGGTCTAGAATTACTCAATTAAGTCCAAGGTGAAATGCCAGGTATTGATTAAAATTCAGACTTCATTTGGTTTGACTGCAGAATGTCAATTAGCAGTGTTAAATAACAGAATATGTAATTTAACTTCAGCAAATCAAGAGCTTATGCAAAAGCATCTTCCTTTCTGTTTTCTTTTTTGTTTCTGTGTTTTTTTAGAGAGAGAGAGCTAGCACAAGCCAGGTAGAGGGGCAGAGGGAGGGAGGGAGAGAGAGAAAGAGAGAGAATCTCATAAGCCAGGTAGAGGGGCAGAAGGAGGGAGGGAGGGAGGGAGAGAGAGAGAGAGAGAGAGAGAGAGAGAGAGAAAGAGAGGGAATCTCAAGTGGGCTCCACGCTCAGCACAGAACCCAACGCAGGGCTCGATGTCACAACCCTGGGATCGTGACCTGAGCCAAAATCAAGAGTCAGACTCTCAATTGACTGAGCCACCCAGGCACCCCACATCTTCCCTTTTGGATTAGCAAAGTGAAGGAAGTATAAGTAAGGATCTAACAAGACAATAAAGATATCAAATGTTTATTTCTTTTTAAGATGGTAAGATTCTGAAGTGATCTGACTCTCCCGAAAACAGAAAAGTCTCTTTTGTAGAGATCACAGTGAGAATTGTAAAATACGTGCAATTATTTCTGAAGGTTATTGTAAACAGCATATAATTATAAGTGAGCTGAGTTGGCTCCAGTGGGACCTCTGTGTGGCTGAAGTGATCTCCTAAAAACACAGTATATCTTTGATCCAAGCAGAAAAGAAGTGGCTTCCGTCAATAGAAAAGAAACTCCCCTACCTGGAAATAATTCAAAGGCTGTGTGTGGCTGTAATGGCAACAGCATTGCCTCCACAGGCAAAGGTGAACACACTTCTGATTGTTTCAGAAAAAGGTGGGATAATCACAGAGACAGAAACAAGAACAATGACAGAAACAAACAGCTCTGAGCCCTCAAAGTCATTAAGGGATGGACCCTAGCTGGAGAAGACCTTTGTGCTGGTTTCAGAAGTTAAAGTCTCAGCAGATGCTCCCAACATCTCTATGGAGACCAGGGTTTCTCTGTCGCCTTAAAAGAGAAGTTCTCAGATTCTTCAAATATCTTTCCCCAAACATTTGGATTTCCTTACAGAGGATGGGTTAAGAGTCAAGATCATGTGAATCAGCTAAAGTATTTCTGGCAGCAAGCTTGGCTGGGTTGAGGCAGTATCTATCTGTTACTGGATATAGACAGGCTGGATGGACACCAGGAAGAGGAGGGGGAAAAACAGAAAGCCCAGAGAACCCAGTCTGGGTAGGGCAAAAATCAGACCACAGCCCAGAATTCATTTGGTCATGTCTTTGGCATCGGCTAAAGATCGCATTGCTCTGAAGTGTTCCTGCAAATTTCTTGGTTCCTCTAAATATGAATTCACCACAGATGAAGCCAGTGATGCGTTGTCACGTAGCAATACAGGAAAATGAAACTTGAAACTTTTCTTCTCCCACATCCAGCAAGTTTTCAGTAGAATCCAGCAAGCTCTGCCCTTGTCTCTAAGGCTTGAGTTAGTTATTAACTATAGTTAAGGGTCACTCCTGGGTGCACAGCTCAGGCTGAGTGAATCCAGCATCCCCAGACCATAGAACACAGCCAAAAGGGGCCAAACTTCAGCTGTACACAGCACCTATAAATTCCTCCTCACCTTGGGAGAAGGTAATACTGCAAGAAAGCCATGTTCAAACTCCCAAACCAGAGAATTGCAAAACTGAAAGAAACTCACTTATTTTTCAGAGAAGTGAAGCAATCGCCTGAGCGCCTGAAGCCACACTGTGTTAGAGCCAGGTCTTCAGAGGGTGAGCTCTGGAGTCAGACTCCTATGTTCAGATCCCAGTTTCACTAGTGTGTCCATTTAGGAAAGTACTACATCTGTTGAGTCTCCACTTCCTTGTCACTAAGCGAGAATAACAGTAGTACCTACCTCTGGATTGGAGGATTCAATGAGATAAGCCCTAGAAAGCTCTTAGGACAGTGCCTGCCTAGCACATAACAAGTGCTCAGTAATGGTAACTCTAATCAACATTGTATCACGCACTTTCCTGCTTAGGCAGAAAGCAGAGATTCCTGGGAATGTGAAGCGTTTGGACTCTGAAGTTTAAATTTCCAGAAAAAAAAAGAAAAAAAAAAAAAGTAATGGCCTCTGATAAACTTTACATATCACAGGGAGACTACACCAAAAATGTGTTCATAAGCCGTTTAGCTCTGTGGCAGATTCTGTAATATTTTCCTAAGGTTATGATTTTGGGGCAAAGATCCAAGGCACTAAATACATCATTATCAAGTCCCTCCCTCTGTCATCTCTCACTCTGAAAAATACAAGCAGTATCTGGAGCCACACTACACCAGATGTTCCCAGAGTCAACATTCTGCTCTGTCATGCTGGCCTGTGGGTTTCAGCCCTACCAAGTGTTCCTTCCCTCCTTACAGAGGGTGATCTAATTCTGAAGGGTAGAGGGAGAGCAGGTGCCAGCATTCTCCAGATGCTGTGGTGCAAGGGTTTCAGAGTACAAGCCACCCATTTCTCTCCATTCTCCCACAGAAAAGCCTGGTAGAATCCATGCCTGAAATGAGATAAGAAATGAATTCTCCACTAATTTGTTACCTTTCTCCCTCAAAACATCTCAAATTGCTTGGTAACTGTCATATGTTTCTATTCCTGCCATACTGATCCAAGTTATATAAAGTGTATTAGAAACATCTACCATAATTCCTCATGGGCTGATCTTGCCCAGAAACCCTCTGTTGAGGAAACAGGAAATGAATGAAATGCAGGAAATCCACACAGTTAGGATGAGAGTCAAAAAGCTGGACTTGATGCAAAGAACAGACACTTAATCCCCAGCAAGTTCAGCAGCAAGTGACAAAAAAGAGAATCATCTCTCTCCTTTCAGAGGAGGAGGCTCACAAAGACACAGTGGCAAAAATATAATATGACATATGCACAAAGATATTTATTCATTGCAGCATTATTTGAAATAACGAAAGACCAGAAATAACTCTAATGTCCACCACTAGGAAGTGGGCGAAAGAGCTGTGGAGCAGGATGCAGAAGATAATTTCTGTACAGAAGATCCCGTTACATGAAGGAAGTCAAGCGAAAAACAGTATTTTAATGGGGCACCTCATTTATAATAAAGGGGACAGATGGCTGGGTTTTTTTCAAAAGTAACAACAGGATAAATAGAAAATAAACTAATAAAAAAAGGTAATCTACGGAGGAAAGGGAAGAGGGGCAAAAATGCAATGGAGCCTCCTCTGAGTATACTCTCTTGACAATTTTTACTTTGGGCCTACAGAAACATTTTATATTATTAAATGTAAGACTGAAACATAGCCTAGGGTCCTCATCTTTTGTGCATGCTCCACCACATTCACTCCACTCCCAAACCCCTTGCCCTCAGCCTGCAGCAGAAAGTCTCAAAGGGGTTCTGGGGAGGGGTCAACACTGCCACTTGGCCACATGGGGCGCAGCACCAGACCTGTTTGAGGTGACCGGCAAGTCATCCCCAAGTTCCTGGGGGTGCCTCCCTGCTGGAGCCCACCAAGTTTCCGGCTGCAAGAGAGGGACTTATCTTCAAGCCAGACCAAAGCCGCACAGCCTCACTCCCAGGCTGCACAATACCAGAATTTCCCAACTTTGATGGAACAAATGAAAAAAAGAACTTTAGTTTCACTCTCCAAAACACTTCCGGCCTTTCTTTTTGCAAGCCGTATTTTCCTTCCTGCAAAATGCTAGTTTCTCTCAGCGACATCCAAGGACGAAGCAGGCTGTTTTCTGGGTTTATCCAGCTGGTTTTGAAAGCAGTTGAGTGAATTTTCTGGAATTAAGGGCAACACAGATACAGCAGCAGGCTCTGCCCAGCATCCCCAGGACCCAGGTTTCCTTAATTTGTCTCCTTCCTTGTGCTGATAAAATCAGCCAGAACAGGGACTAGAAATAAGCTTTAAGGTCAGCCTGGCTCTTTCTCTGAAAATGCTGCATCTTCTGTTGACACCCTCCCAAACCTCTGTGTCAGAGAGGAAGGAAGGAAGGAAGGAAGGAAGGAAGGAAGGAAGGGATAACTGACCCACTGCCTGGACATGCTCAGTCTTCTTTCCACTGTTTTCAAATAATAAGGGGCCAATAAGGCCTTAAAAAGAAGCTGATATTACATCTCTTCAACAGAAGAGCATGAAAAGAAAATGCAGAATAACAGAAAGCATTAAGATAACAGAAAAGCATTAAGAAATCATATTCCACATTCAAATATATTGATTTGGTTTTTAATGTAAATCAATTTAAATAATTAGGGGTGTTACTTGAAATACAGTTTCTTCTCATTAAATGCAATGGTTGGTAGTGCTCTTTTATGTAAGAAAACCTCTAAGGTGCTAATGAAACATGATATGATTTACCAACTTTCATTTTATCCAGGGCCAGGATTGCCTAGATAACTTTTTTTTAATATCCCAAATACTCAAACTTTATTTTATTTTTTTATTTTTTCTTCCAAGATTTTATTTAAATTCAAGTTTGTTAGCATATAGTGTAGTATTAGTTTCAGGAGTAGAATTTAGTGATTCATCACTACATCTAACTCCCAGTGCTCATTACAACAAGTGCTCTCCTTAATCCCCATCACCCACTTAGCCCATCCCCCCTACCCACCCCCTCCAGTAATCCTCAGTTTGTTCTCTGTATTTAAGAGTCTCTTATGGTTTGCCTCCCCCTCTGTTTTTATCTTATTTTTCCTTCCCCTCCCCTATGTTCATCTGTTTTTTTATTTCTTAAACTTTACACATAAGTGAAATCATAGAGTATTTTTCCTTCTCTGACTTATTTCCCTTCGCATAATATACTCTAGCTCCATCCACATCATTGCAAATGGCAAGATTTCATTCTTTTTGGTATGTGTGTATCACATCTTCTTTAGCAATTCATCAGTTGATGAACATATGGGTTCTTGTCATAGTTTGGCTATTGCTGATAGTGGTGCTATAAATATTGGGGTGCAGGTACCCCTTTGAATCAGTATTTTTGTGTTCTCCAGATAAATACCTAGTAGTGCAATTGCTGGGTTGTAAGATAATTCTATTTTTAACTTTCTGAGGAACCTCCATACCGTTTGGAGGTGCAGAATTGCTGCACCAGTTCGCATTCCCACCAACAGTGTAGGAGGGTTCCCCTTTCTTTGCATCTTTGCCAACAACTATTGTTTCCTGAGTTGTTCATTTTAGCCATTCTGATAGGTGTGAAGTGGTATCTCATCATGGTTTTGATTTCCATTTCCCTGATGATCAGTGATGTTGAGCATCTTTTCTTGTGTCTGTTAGCCATTTGCTTGTCTTCTTTGGAGAAATGTCTGTTCACGTCTTCTGTTCATTTCTTAACTGGATTATTTATTTTTGGGGTGCTGAGTTTGATAAGTTCTTCATAGAACTTATCCAATATGCCTTTTGCAAATATCTTCTCCCATTCCATAGGTTGCCTTTCAGTTTTGTTGACTGTTTCCTTCACTGTACAGAAGCATTTTATCTTGATGAAGCAAAAGAGTTCATTTTTGCTTCTGTTTTCCTTGCCTCTGGAGACATGTCTAGTAAGAAGTTGCTACAGCCAAGGCCAGAGAGGTTGCTGCCTGTGTTCTCCTCTAGGATTCTGATGGTTTCCTGCATAAGTAACTTTTAAGACACCTTCTGACCCTGAAAGTCTAGGAGAAGGCATGTAATATGAGGTGCTCCCTCCCAAAGCCTCCTATACTCTCAGCACCATGACAACTACTCCCATCTTCATCTGGCCATAGCCAGAATCCTCTGAGGTCAGCAAAACAGCAGCGCTCTACATGCCAAGGCTGAGCCACTCCCCTTAGAAACTATTGAATTTCTAAGAGGCAAAGAGCAAAGTCGTGTGTGTGTGTGTGTGTGTGTGTGTGTGTGTGTGTATTTTCTACATGCACAGAAGTATCTGAGCACACACAAAATTAGTTGAAAAAGTAGGTGCAGAGAAGGATTAAGTTTAATGGGCAAAAAAACTTTTAGAGGAGAAAAGAGGGCTCTCGCATATAGCAGAATGCTGAGTGCTGACTTATAAAGGTAGAGAAAATACTGGAGTTTGAAAATCATTGCTTTTCAACCAACATAATAAAAATTGAATCACACTAGAATCATTAATGGATACTTAATCTAGGGGAAATTCTTGATGCAGAGTGGGATATTTGTAAAGTCTCAAAATGTCTCTCTACCACTTGCTTACTAGTTGCAGGGGAGAAATAGTAACTATACAAAATTAACTGTATAGTGAAGAAATCAGACAACACCTTGACCAAACAATCAAAATTACCATCACAAAGAGGGAGCAGACGGACACCACTGCTTCCAGGTGTGATGCCCTGAGAAGAGTACATCATTTAGGTAATATTCCTGCCAGAATATATAAAGCTTGAAACAAATCACAGGCAATACCACGCACACCAAAAATGAGGACAATTCTATTTTTTTAATAAAAGGTGGTAGTGAGGGTGACTATATTCTTCAAAAATGTCAATGTCATAAAGAAAAGTTGTTCAAGATTAAGGGAGACTACAGACACATGACACCTAAATACAATAATGATCCCAGATAAATTATGTGTTGGAGGGGGAAAAAGCTATAAAGGATATTATTTGATCAACAGAAAAAATTGAAATGTGGAACTTCAATTTGGTGAAAGTATTGTATTAAGTAAACTGTAGTGGCATCAATAACTGTACTATAGTTTTAAAAGAATATCCTTATTCTTAGGAAATACATAGTAAATATTCAGGGGTAAAGAGTCATGATGTGTGCAAGCTACTCTCAAAAAGTTTGGAAAAAAATTATGTGTGTTTAAATAGATAGATGATATATAGGTAAATAGATAGGTAGGTAGGTAGATAAAGACAGAGAAAGAAAGCAAAGGCTAACACAAATGGTGTAAAAGTCAACAACAGGTAAGTGAATCTGGTAAAATAGTACACAGTGTTCTTAGTATTACTCACATTCTGTCAACTTTTCCATAAGATTGAAATTATTTCCAAATTTAAAAATAAAAAATTGTAACTGTAAAAATATGAAACCATGAAAGTAGTAAAGAAGCTATGAATGAATTTTTAAGAATAAAAAATAAAACTTCCACAAACAATCCAATTAAAAAATGGGCAAAAGGACTTAAATAGACATTTCTCCAAGAAGGATAACAAATCGCTAACAAGCACATGTAAAGATGCTCAACATCAGTAATCACTAGGGAAATGAAAATCAAAATTATAATGAGATACCACCTCATACCCATTAGGATGACTACTATCAAAAAATGAGAAAATAAAAAGTGTTAGCAAGGTTGTGGAAAAATTGGAACCCTTATGCTTTATTGGTGGAAATGAAAAATGATACAGCTGTCATGGAAAACAGTATGAAGGTTCCTCAATAAATGAAATACAGAATTACCATATGATCCAGCATTTCCCCTTCTGGGTAAATACCCAGAACTGAAAGCATGATCTTCTGGGTAAATACAAGAACTGAAACCATGATCTCAAAGAGATTTTGTATACCCATGTTCATAGCAGTATTAATTCACAATAGCCAAAAGGTGGACGCAATCCATATGTCCATCAAACATATGTGCATTCGTTTATGAATGGATAAACAAAATATGGTACATACACACAATGAAATATTATTCAGCTTTAAAAAGGAAGAAAATTCTGACACGGTTGAACCTTGAGGACATTATATAAAGTGAAATAAGCCAGTCACAAAAAACAAATACTATATGAATCCACTTATATGAGGTACCTAGAGTAGTCAAATTCACAAAGATAGAAAGTGGAATGGTGTTTGCCAGGGGCTGGTGGGAGGGAGGAATGGGGAGTTACTGTTTAATAGATATTGAGTTTGAGTTTTGCAAGATAAAAAGAGTTCTGGAGATTGGTTATACAACAATATAAATGTACTTAACAGAACTGAACTGTACACTTAAAAATGATGAAGATAGTAAATTTTATGTTGTCTTTTATCACAATTAAAAAAAAGTTCCAAGGCCAAGATAACTGCATTGATACTGATAGATGTTAGCAAAATAAAACTGCCCAAGTCTGCTGGTAAGAAACATTAATTCCAGGGAAGAATGTCATATGTGTCTTCCAAGGATCATGATCATGTTATAAGAAACACACTGCTCCTAGGTTTCAGCACCAAGAAGAAGAAGAAGGAGGAGGAGGAGGAGGGGAGGAAGGAAGAGGAGGAGGAGAAAGAAGAGGAGGAGGAGGAGAAAAAAAGAAAAAAAAAAAGAAAATGAAACAGATTGCAAATTTCCCAATGTTTTCCCTCTATCCACCCTTCTATTGCTGGGCACTAAAGGAACCCAGTTCTTATTCTCTGGAAAGGACAGGCTACATAATTTGTAGGGCTCCATGCAAGATAAAATGTGAGGCCCTTTGTTCATACATAAAGAACTGTTTAAATTTTTTTTTTATTTTATGGAAAGAGAGAGCAGAGGTAAGGGGCAAAGAGAGAAGGAGAGAGAGAGAGAGAGAGAGAGAGAGAGAGAGAGAGAGAGAGAGAATCCCAAGCAGGCTCCATGCTCAGCAAGGAGCCCGATATGGGGCTTCTATCCCAAGACTCTGGGATCATGACCTGAGTTGGAATCAAGAGTCAGATGCTCAAATGACTGAGCCACCCAGGAGCTCTCATTATTAAGAATTTTAAAACAGTGACAGCTGAGCATTAGAAAAGCATGGGCAATGTGGGACTGCACAGGCTGTACATTCAGGAAGCTGGCCTTGATCAAATTGCACAGATAAAACAATCCATTTCAAAGCAATCCAGTGGTGTACTGGAGTCAACTCAAACCAACTAGTGAGAGCCATTTGTCAGATTTTCAGAAATTCTGCAATAACATGAAATCAGCCATAATGGGAACACTTACACCAAACACTACAAATCAGGGTCTCTCTCCTCAATCTCTTTTTTGTTCTTTCTTTTTGGGATAGGGAATTGAGGGTGGAGAGTAGAGCTGGTCATTAAACATTTGCCAACACATCATTGAACCTACCTGTAAGGCTCCAAAGAATTGGTTAACATCTGAACGGGAAAATAGTTCTTCCTCTCCTTGATGCAATGACTCAGTTTCCTGGTCAACAGGAGGTGTCACTACCTGGGAGGCTGGAAATAGAATCACAGACAGTAAAACAAAAATCATCTTCTGACTAGTAGTAATCCAAGGTAACCAATCATCACAAGATATTATTTTATAGGGACCTGTAGATTTGTAGTGCCATTTGCTTAAAGAGGCCTACATATATACCTAGGAAAAAAATGTGAATTTATAAATTGTTTTTCTTTATCATTGTATTTTCATTCCTTGTATTATTATATTTCATTTCTTATTATTTTTGTGTTTTTATTCTTTTTATAATGTTACTAGTTCCTTAAAATTACCATATACTGTACTAAATACTATTTCAGAATGTATGGTACTTAATGTGTTAGATAATGGCCAAGAAGAGATAACAAAGGCATTACCTCAAAAAATAAAAGCAGAACTAAGACCATAGTAAAAAAGATAAAGAAGAAAAAAAGGAAGGGAGGAAAAGAAAAAAAAATCAAGAAAAAACACTCAAAAGTGGTAATTAAATAAATATGGGGGTTTTTTTAATAATAAACATGTTATGTATATAAAGTTATTTCTATGGAACTATTACTAAGAATGAGCTATGTCTGTATTATGTTCATAGGAAAATATCAGCTATATTAGGTGGGAATAAAGAAAGTTATATATGATTAGCATGATTTTATTTAAATATATATGTATTTATCTATCTACACACACACACACACACACACACACTCATAAACTGTCTCCATATAGAAGAAAGGCTACAAAAATAAACTCCAGTGATTCGGTCTGGGGACTGGCCAGCAGTAGATAAACTCTATTGTCATTATTTGAATTTTTATTTAATTTTATTATAATTATGATACATTACTTTTAATAAGAAATTTAAAATACTAAAGCAAACACCAAGACTCAAGAAAACTTAGAAAAGTATCCAGGCAGTCCTTAAATAGAGCTTGTGTCCTAATCAGATACAATGGACTTTGACGTGGGGCATCTGGGTAGCTCAGTCAGTTCAATGTCCGACTTTGGCCAGGTCATGATCTTGTGTTCATGAGTTCAAGCCCTGCATTGGGCTCTGTGCTGACAGCTCAGAGCATGAAGCCTGCTTCAGATTCTGTTTCTCCTTCTCTCTCTCTGCCCCTCCCCCTCTCTCTCTCTCTCTCTCTCTCTCTCTCTCTCAAAAAATGAATAAACATTTTTAAAAAGTGGACTTTGCCTTTGGATCACATTCATTTACAGAAAAGTCTAAAATCTGCAGACCTACTATTTTTTCAGTCCTTTAGTCCTTAATCCTAAATGGCAGAATTAAGCCCAAACTCTTAGGGCTACAGAAAGTCAACACTGAAATATTAATTGATATCTATGATATAATAATAAATATGTATTTGGTCTCTGCCCTCCTTTTCCTGGCACACAGCTCCTAAAACCCTTGGAATCTCTGAAGTGCTAAGCATCTTTTGCTATAAGATGCTAATAAGATGATTGGTGACTGGGGGCTCCTGGACAGCCTCTAGAGGCCTGTGGTCAAAGGGTTAGAACTTTCAACCCCACACTCAGACCTCTGAGAAAGGGAGAAGGCCTAGAGGTTGAATAAATCATAATGGCCAATGATTCAATCAACCATGCCTACATATGAAGCCTCCATAAAAATCTCTAACTGAAGGAGCTTGGAGAGCTTCCAGGTTGGCAAATACGTGGAGATGCTGAGAGAGTGAGCTGCCTGGAGAGGGCCTGGAAGCTTTATCTCCCTTCCCCCATACCTTGCCCTACCCGTTTCCTCCTACACGTGGCTGTTCCTGAGTCAAATATTTTTATAATACATAAGTAATCTAGTAAACTGTTTTCCTGAGTTCTGTGAGCTTTTCTAGCCAATTACTGAACCTGAGGAGGGGCTCATGGGAACCATCACTTTGTAGCCAAGTTGGATACAAGCCGTGAGTACTCTGGGGACCCGTTAACTTGTGACTGGCATCAGAAGTAGGGGGCAGTCTTAGGGCACTGAGCCTTTAGCCTACTTTAGTTAAGGTGTGTACTAACTCTGGTTAGTGTCAGAATTGAATTAAATCATAGGACACCAAGTTGGTGTCTACAGAGAATTAGAGAATTGGTCGGTATTAAAAAATCATACCCATCTAGGTCAGAAGTGCTCCAGAAGTGTTGGTGTGATAATAGTAGAGGAAAACTTTTTTTTTTAATTTTGACACCCAAAAGAGATCACACAGCAGGTAGGTTGCAGAAAAGAAAAATCAAAATTAGAATTCTTTTTCTGATATAAAGCTCAGGCTTCAAGATTCACTGAGGCATTTACTACATAAACACTAGAATGCCTTCTCCAGAGTTCAAATATCCAAAATAATTTGACCACCTACCCTGTTCATTTTGTGTGGGGTACTAGCTACAGGAAAATGGCAAATGTAATTTTAAAAAAATCTCTGCATTCAGAATTCAGTAATGATTCCAAATGTATTTTCCATATCAACTCCCTGCTTTTTATTTCTCACTTGATAACTTTGGTTAGAAGAATCATTTTTATTTTTCATAACTTTTACTTAAATTATACATTTATTCATTGCCTTATTATTGTTTGAGATTTTATCAATTTAACAACAGTATAGTTTGTCCCTCAACTCATTGTGTATTTATAGAATTCTTAGAAGTTTCCTTTTAGCTAGTTTCGTTTTCAACCAAAGACATTTGCACACCAGATTAACTCACTGAACTAAAATATGGGTGTGGCATTAAAGCTACTCATGCATTTTTATTTCAGCTCTTGTTTAACACTGGAGAAACAGACCTGGAAAAACACAAATATTTACCAACCAGCTTTGACTTCCACGCTGTGCTATTACCTCCATATAATACGACAGCAATACAACCTTTACAAGACAGGATTAAAGAAAAAAACAAGGAAATAAAATTCTTCTCTGTTAGTAATTTCTGAGAATATGAACGTTTTCATGACTTTCTGACAAACATATTCATAGCAACATGTTTTACGCTATGCCAGACATGCATTTTACAGGAATTACTTCATTCAGTTCTCAAAACACTCATGAGGTAGATAGTATTATTATCCCCACTTTACAGATGGGGAAAGTGAAACACAGAAAGGCTAAGAAAAGAACCGCTGAATCATTAATAAGTGGAGTCCTGGCAATCTGACTCCACAGACCTCATTCTTCATCCTTATGCTATTCTGCCTCCTTCTTTTTTGTTATTTCATTCAAAATTATTTTCTCTACTCTCGCCCCACGGATGAATGAGAAAAAGACATTTATCTAAAACTTTTCTTCATTAGAATATAAGATCCAAGACAGCAGAAGCTTTGCTGTATACACTACTGTGTCTCCAACTTCTAAAACTCTGCCTAGTACAGAGTTCAATAAATAGTTCGCATTCAATAAATATGTCTTAAATGAGCAGATGGGGAGAGAGTTCTGGCTTTTCTAAGACAGTATCATCAGAGTGATGAGTAAACATCATTAATGATCAGTTAGTTTAAGAATTCCCATGGTCTTGTGCAAAGAACCAAGTGTAAGTAAGCTAGTTACCTTTCTCTCTCTTATATTTTTCTATCTTTCTCATAAGGTTAGGTACAACTTTTCTGCAGAGATCCTCCAGTAACATCAGATTATCTTCATCTATTAGAGCTTGTTTCTCCAGATATGCCAGGAAACTTAGAGAGGTCTGCAAGAGAATCAATGGAGTCACATTTACTTGCCCTCTGAGGATCCATTCATTCTTTAAACATTACCTGCATGGCCTCTAGTCACTAGATTTTGCAATGATGAATAAGGCAGAGTGTTTGCCCCTGAGGGGTTCAATCGTATGGGGGAAGGTGGATTACCAAGTAAAATATACAATCTATATTAATACCAAATATATGTAACTCACTACATACCAGGCAGTGCTTGCTGTACATTAACCTCAAAAACAAGCCAATGAGCCTAGATCCTATTATAATCCACATTTTAAAGATGAAATAACTGAGGTTCAATCACTTGTCCAAGGTCACAGAGCCAATAAGTGGCAGGGCTGGTATCTGTACCTGGCAGTCTGATGTCAAAGTCTCTCTTATTAACTAACCATTGAGCTAGACTGCCCGTCACTTACAGCTGTAAATGATATAATTAGATTAGGGCAGCAGCAAAACAGAAGCACCAAAGAAACAAGAGGCAAATATTTGGTATTTGAAAAGAAAAAAAAAATTCTTAAATACTGCTGGGAAAAAAACACAAATCAGCTAGTATTATTTTAATATTGAAATACATGTGGGGTGGAAGGTATCATATTCTTTTCAGTAAATAAGGCTTCTCAATGTATTAAGCTGGTTATGAAAAATATGCAGGGACAAAATTACATTAGAGCCCACAGAAAAGAATACCTGCTTAGAAAGGAACCTCTGGACACTATCCCACTGCATACATTAAGCATCAGCAGAGTGGGAACTGGGGAGAAGTCTCCAGACATATGGAACAGTTGAATGGTTAAAAAGGGACAGTGTGTTCAGGAACACTGAGAAGGAAGCTTGAGTACAAACACTGAGTGAGAGCTAGATCATGGCTAGAACTGCGGGCTGGTATCAGACCACACAGGGACATACAGTATATGAGGAGTTTGGGCCAAGTGTCCCACGCGTCAAGGAGTGGCAGAAGTAGTTTTTAAGGAGGACAGTAACATGAATACATTTATTTTTAGCAGAAGTTTTGAAATAGGTTGGAGAAGGAAGTGGATTAGAGAGAAAATATTGGCAAGAGGCACTGGACCTGAGAAACATTTCTGAAATAGAATTTGGTGAGTTGTGGAGATCAATTGGGAATGGGTAAAAAAGATGACTTCAAATGGTGGTATCACTCATGTATTCATCATTCGTCTATTCCGCATAGCAGGCTTCACAAAAGCTGCACATGGGAGAGGACTCTTTTTTTTCATTTATTTTTTTTAATGTTTATTTTTGAGAGAGAGAGATAGAGCATGAGCAGGGAAGGGGCAGAGAGACGGGGAGACACAGAATCTGAAGCAGGCTCCAGGCAATGAGCTCTCAGCTCAGAGCCCAATGCGGGGCTCAAACTCACAAACTGTGAGATCAGGACCTGAGCCAAAGTCAGATGCTTAAATGACTGAGCCACCCAGGCACCCCTGGGAGGGGATTCTTGAAGGATGACTATGTCTTCACTGCCAGCGTGGAAAAGGACATTCCAGGCAAAGAAAACCACTTGGGAAAAGTGATGTGAAACTACAAATCTGGTTATGAGGAGGTTCATGTTGGCTTCAGTACGAGCAGTTTCATTGGAGTGGTGGAAGTTGAAGTCATGTTGAAATGCATTGATATGTGACCCAGAGTTGACTTAGTGGAGAAAGAGCACATACAAACTATTCTTTCAAGAAGCTTGGCAGTAGAGGGAGGCAGGGAGAAAGAGCAATAACATAAGGATGAGGAAGGGTTACTGAGTGTGTGTGTATGTGTGTGTGTGTTTTCAAATAAGGCACTCAAGATATCAACAACCAAGGAAAAGAACAGAATTGATTACTTGATTTCTGTTCTCATCTGATCAAAGAGAGATTATAATTTTTTAAGACATTCCAGAGACAGGGCTCCTGGGTGGCTCAGTCAGTTAAGCATCTGACTCTTGATTTCAGCTCAGGTCATAATCTCACAGTTCATGAGTTCAAGCCCTATACTAGGCTCTGCACTGACAGTGTGGAGCCTGCTTGGAATTCTCTCTCTCTCCCTCTCTGCCCCTTGCTCACTTGCACCCTCTCTCTCAAAAACAAATAAATAAATAAAAGAAGTGTGTGTGCCCCCACCTGCAGCCCTAGCACACCAATAGCTTGGCCCAGGAATAAAGCAGGAGAGAGGAGCATGTGCAGGAAGATTCATCCAGAGCTGATCAGCTGGGCAAAGGGGTCAGAAGGAATCTACCACACAAGGGTCTGTGGTAGGTCACAGGCAGATGAGCTCTCTCTGAACCTCAAAACAGAAACCCCATTTTTTTTAAACTTTCTTTTTTTTTTAAGTTTATCTCTTTTTAAGAGAGAGAGCACAGAAGGGGCAGAGAGGGAGAGAGAATCCCATGCAGGCTCCACATCATCAGTTTGGAGCCCAATGTGGACTTAAACTTATGAACTGTGAGATCATGACCCAAGCTGAAGTTGGATGCTTAACCGACTGAGCCACACAGGCACCCCGAAACCCCATTTTTGACAGCATCCTACTAAGGGTGAAGAAAAGGGACTAAGACACGATTCCAGAAGCAATGATAGAAATTCATTATAACTTCATGGAAAGTTCATTGGATGTTTGGTAAATGACACCTTCTACACACACACACACACACACACACACACACACACCACGCAATTTAAATGGAGTCTGTACTTTAAGAACACCACTCTGGTTAATACTAGCAGGAAGTGTCTGAAACCTCTTTTGTTGTGCTCCTTTGCTAAGCTAGTAGATTTGGGTGTGGTTTCCTTTACATCCAACGTCCTAAGTTGATTGCTACTCTGAGAACGGATTTCCGGACTGTTGTTTGAGTCTTTCAGCATGTGTAAAGACAGCTATTCTGCTATGAACCTGTAGAAAGTTATCAAAAAGGAGCCCTAGAACACCCTACAAAGGTCATTTCTCTAACTCTGGAGAGACTGTGTGAATTTAAAACATTTCCTTTTTTGACTGAGGGAAGTTCAGGCCCCCCCCAACCCAGCTGCTAAATAATTTATTTCAGTAACAAAAGTTTTTGCAATGGCAACTGCAGATAATGGAGTCTTATTAAGCCCCCATATAGAAACTCATCTAGCTGCTTAGAGACTGTCCTTTACATACTTCAGAAGGCTAGCCTGATCTCAAAGTCCAGTTGAGATCAACCTGGATTATCTCAGGTATATAACTCACCCACAATTCTCACATGGCAAAATAGATCTCCTTCAAAATAAAGCTGAGCTCATTTGGAACCCAAGAAGGAAGTGTGCTTTTCCTGAATCTGACCGGGTATTTCCATAGTTCTATGCCACAGCGAAATACAGTGATTTCTCCCTTTACTCCTGTACTGAATAAGAAAAGCATAAAATCATTTGGCTGCCTGAACATGGGCCTTCAATGACTTAAAAGCTAATTTAGCAGGGGGCAAAATGTTTGGAATACTTCTGGCAACCAACCACAGATGCCTGCAAGCTAAGGTCTAAAACCCATGGAGGAAGTACAAGAAGAAATACATCCCCCAGTTTTTCCTAGTAGAAAATCACGGCTTGGTGTGGAGCATATCAGGGATTCCTGCCCATCTCCTCATCCCTCATCCTGCTGTGGGGAGTATGGACTTCTGTCCATGACGCAGAGAGAAGTGTAACCACAGAGAGTGGGTTCATTTTATTTATAAATCCAGACACTAGAGAAATCACAAGAGGATGTTCCAAGCTAGGAGAAAATATTATCAGAATAATCTGGAGCACTTTCAAACTACAGGAAATCAATGTGGAGACATTCAGACTCTGAATCCAGCTGCCGATTTGAAGGAAATACAGGGGACAGAGGAGCACATTGAACTGTACCAAGCACACGCAATCAGCAAAACTCAGACTGGGGAAATTCTACTGGCCAGGTGTCCTGGGGTTCTTCAACAGACACATTTTAAGAAAAAGAAAGGGATTGGGGGAAGGGGTTTAACCTACAGATTAAAAGACACTCAAAAGAAATAAACTGGCCAAGACTAAACTTGACATCTAGGGATGCACAGGTAAATGATAAAGTCGTAAAGACACCTAAGAACATTGTTACCATAAAAGCCAAATCAGTGGTTTCTTCTAGCGGGTGGTAAGTAAGGGGCTGTGATTGGAATGGGACAAGTGGAGGGGTTTCTAGAACAGCTGGCAAAATTCAAATTCTTGACCTGGGTAGTAGTTTCAAGAGGATTAGCCTTATAACAATTCTTTAATCTGTATGTGTATTTTATTCATTTTTCTACACTTGTGTTTTGTTGAGGGTTTTTTTAAGAATAAAAAGATAAAAGAAAAAAGTGTAAAAAAAAAAAAGAAAGATATCAGAACTTCCAGAGAGTATCTAAGGGAAAAAATTAGTAGATTGTGACAAGGGGCAACAAGTATAAGAATGTTATTAGTGTATCTTTGCACAACCCCATTAGGGTGGCTTAGTTCGTCCTGCTAATCTCTCCAGTCATTCATCATAAAATCACATAAAAGCAAGGGTCCAGGCCATTTTCTCAGAAAGAGAAGGGAAAGATTGTATCATCCCATTCATTCATGCTTTCATTCAGAGCACCATTTTGTAACAGATTCTACAAGGTTCTGGAGCTATAACAATGAGTAAGACTTGGTCACCAACTCCAAGGAACCCACACCCAGCTTTTAGAAGACAGGAGCCTCCATAAGTGACTAATCAAAAGACACAGAGGGTAAAATCCCTGAGGGGTATGAAAGAGGAAAAAAAAGATCTTAAAAAACTGTAGCCTAAACAAAATGAACCTGTTCGGGTCTACAGGTCTAACACCAGGAAATATATTTAATGAATTCCTTACATAGTCCTCATTTGACCTACCCCACCCACCCACCTCCTCATTTCCTTACTGTGCCCGACACATTTCTATATGGTAAAACACAGTGGGTGCCAATAGAAGTTAACAATTTACTATCTGATTACTATGTGCCAAATACAGGCCCCTAAAGTTTTACCCACATTATTTCATCCAATTCTCCCAACAGTCCTGGAAGGAAGTAGTGTAATTATCTACAATATGACACATGAGAAAATGGAGACTCAGAAAGGTTCAATCACTTGCCCCACATCGAGGCATTAGTCACAGAACCAGGACTAGAATCCAGGCCCATCCAACACCAAAGTCAATGTTCCTAAGCACTGTATGGTATCATCTCCTACAAATATAAACCCTTCTTGAAGACTCTTTCCAGCATATTCCCAACACTGATTAAGGCAGTGCTCACAGGGGCACATGGATGGGTCTGTCAGGAAAGCGTCTGACTTTTGATTTTGGCTCAGGCCATGATATCAAAGTTTGTTGAGTTCAATCCCCAACTCAGGCTCTGTGCTGACAGCATGGAACCTGCTTGGGATTCTCAGTCTTCCTCTCTCTCTCTCTGACCTTCTCCTATTCACAATCTCTCTCTCTCTCTCTCAAAAATAAATAAACATTTTTTTTAAAAGGCAGTGCTCACAAATACCCCACTCTTTATGACCCACTTACCATCTGGATTTTGGGAATCGATTCTCTCATAAGGAAGACCATGTCCTTTAAGTTCTCTGAGCCGATTCCCTCTGACAGTTCGTACAGCAGGTTTCTAAGACATACATCCAGAGAGACAAGTAAAGCCTCACACTTGCAAAGGACAGCACAGTAAATTGAGTGCTTTTTTATATACATTTTCTCTCATTTGAATGATCACACCCTGTGAGCAGATAATTTCAAATCCCATTGTATAGATTCAAAACTAAAACTCTAAGCTTTAAGTGGTCTATTACATAAAGATAACATAATAAGCAGTAGAGGCAGTCCTTCTGATTCCAAGTCCAGTGCTACTTTCCATCCCACTAGGAAGATGTAAAACTCAATGTTGGCATGCCTTCCCATCTCCTGACCGCATTCTAGGAATTCAGGCTTACTTTATAGGCCCTCGTCAGAGAGGACTTGATACCATTCTATAGAAAGTCCATGTTGAAAAAAAAGGAAACTATCCCAACTTCTGGAGAGTCATGTATCTGACCACCAGAAAAGCTGAACATTCCATTCACACACTAACACCTCTGTATGCTGGAGATCTTAACCAGCGGAGTGGAAATAATGACTTCCAGAATTCCCTGACTGACTCAACTATAGCTCAGATTCTGGGAGCCACTTTAAGGAGGGAGACCTGAAGGATTCTAGTCACCCCAGCCACAAAATAACACTTCAACTCTTCCTTGGGAAGTTCTCTAATGTAGATACATCAGTGGACAACTAAAAACCGTATTGACTAAGTCCTGGTGATGTATTGTACAACATGGTGACTACAGTTAAACAACACAGGTGACCCTTGAACAACACAGGTTTTAACTGCAAGGGTCCACTTGAACTTGGATAAATACAGTACAGTACTATAGATGTATTTACTCTTCCTTATGATTTTCTTAATAACATTTCCTTTACTCTAGCTTATTCTATTTTAAGAATGCAGTATATAATACATGTGACATACACAATATGTGTTAACTGTTTATGTTATCTATGGGGCTTCTGGTCAACAGTAGTAGTGAAATTGGAGGGGACTCCAAAGTTTTGCTGGATTTTTGGCTGTGTGGGGATCAGCACCTTAACCCCCCATTGTTCAAGGGTCACTGTACTGTGTTATATATTTAAAAGTTGCTAAAAAAGAAGATTCTAAAAGTTCTCACCACAAGCAAAAAAACTGTAACTATGTGTGGTGATGGATGTCAAACTTACTGTGGTGATCATTTCACAATATATAAATATATCCCATCATTATGTGGTATACCTAAAACTATTACAATGTTATAGGTCAATTATATCTCAATTAAAAAATTTTTTTTAATTAAATGAAAAAAATAGTGTTATCTAAGGTCTGACCCATTATAAACCTGATCCCTATATTTCACCCCTTGTGTAAAACGTCTATATTTTACCCTTCTGGGTTTCATACAAAAGGGTATGAACATTTAAAACTGGACATGGCATAAATGGTGTCCTTCCCTACCTCAGAGACACATCCCCTTTTTCATTTTGCTTATTTGGCCCCACGCATGCATTATCTCCTCTCAAATCCCCGCAATGACTCACAGGAGGAAGGGCTGTCTGGGAGTACAGAGGGTAAAAGGAAAGCACGGGCCCTGCTATGCTGAGGCAGGCTTCATTTGGCGGTGAGAAGCAAACCAAGGGAAGCCACTACCAGGCCCAGAGCTTTGCTGACCTCCCAACTTTTCATCTCATTAGTGCTGGAAGCTGAGAGATCTCCTGGTTCGGAAGCATCCAAGGAGGTAGATAAGAAAAAGATCTTAATCCCAACCTCCTTTCAAAGCCCAGTGGCCCGAATGAACACTAGCTAGATGGAAAAACCCCCCTGTCTTAATCACAGACCCCTCCTCACCTGAACAGAGAGACCCTCCTTCGGGTGGGCAGCAAACTCTCCACTTGCTCTCTGCTTTGGCGGAGGTACCGCAGCAGCGAATTCTGTTTGAGTATATAGAGGAGTTCTGCTAGGAAGAAGGGGTCTTCCTCACTCAGCAGCTCCTCTGCCAACAGATGATCAAAAATATCCGAGGCTGAGCTGGACTTCTCCAGCTTCTTGTGGGAGATCCAGTCTCGGCAGAGAAACTTCAAGCCCTCCACATCTTGGGCCTCCAGGTTTGAATCAATAATCAGAAGCTTCTCACGGAAGTTCACTTGACAATTATCATCTGAACGGAACCTCAAACTTTGACCTTGAGATGTCATGGCCAGCCTGAAAGAGACAGAGAAGTGGGGCAGCAATTAGAGAAAAAGGATCCACAGAACCCCACTTCCCCGGCCTCCTCCATGCCAGGCATTAGAATTTCCTGGAAGTGCTGAAAAATAAAAATTCCTGTGAAATTATTTCAAAAACCAATAGGCAAAAAAAAAAAAAAAAAAAAAAAAACAACCAACCTTCAACCACAGCACTTCTATGTTAACCCTTCTGGAGGTCTGGAAGGAGCTCTTTTTGGAACTCAACCTACTTTTATTTCTCCCAAATCAAAATGCCCCTGGTGGGCGCTAGTCAAAAGGGAGAATGACAAAGCACAATTTCTCCCTGTTAGAGCTCTTAATTCACTTCCACCAAATGGCAGAAATAGTGCTCAGATTTATGCCTTTCATTTTAGAAATAAAGCAGTCTCGGGTTTTATATTTCATAAGTGTCTACCAATTGAAGGATGAGGTAACACTGCTAACCATAATGGGACAGGTTTGTATCTCACAAAAAAGAGAAGCCATAATCCTAGACTCCAAAGGGTGGTTTTAAACAAGAGTTGCTCAGATCAGTGAAGGAAGTCACAAATTACCTAAATCAATATTTCTACCGGATTAGTTCATAAAGTTCATATGGTATTTTCTATACCAAATTCCATTCGAATCAAAGGAGCAATGAAGTGATAAAATTTTTCAGTGTAATATAATTCGTACTATAAGACCTCAAGGTATATACTCTCTTCTCGAAACTGAGCTATTTAGAAACAAGAAACCATTTTCTAAAGGAAGAAGAACAAAACAAAACACAATATCGATAACAAAAAATGGTTATACCTAAGTGGTATAATTACAAATAACTTTTCTTCCAGGCTCCTCTCTGAGTTTCTCAGATTTTCTGCAACAAACACACATTACTTTTGTTGTTAGAAAAAGAAAACAGAGAGGTGCCTGTCTGGCTCAGTCAGAAGAGCATGCAACTCTTCATCTAAGGGCTGTGAGAACAAACCCCACATTGGGCATAGAGCTTATTTTTAGAAAGAGAGAGCAAGAAAATAGAAAATGCTATTTTTAATGTGATCATCCATGGGGTCTTTCCTTCTAGTAGCAGCCTGTGATACCAGAAACCAAATGAATGGCATTTTGCAGATGTCTTCCTATTCCAAGGTAGCATACGTTTGCCTTGAAGTTTCCGGAAGATTCCAATCTAGAACTTTAGTGAGTCTAACAGACTTTGTCTCCATTTGTGGACTAGCATATTTCTGCCAGTAGAAGTCTGTGTTGGAGCTTTCCTGGGACTTTTCAAACCTTCATTTTCCCTGGCATGGCTAATAAATCCCGGCAGAAACAGTGCCATTGCTGACAACGAGAGCTTTTGCAAGTTTCTAAAACTGAAGGAAGGAACAAGGCTAGCGTGTAAGACCTCAGCAGGGGAAAGGTGCTAATCACATACCTTCAGATCAAATTCCGCTCGTCCTCTGGAGGTAAATGGTTCCGGGGGAAACTGCCTGAAAACAAGTTTTTAAGAAATTAAAATTCTCTGTGTAATCCACGTTCCAGGGAAGCTCCCATTTGCGCGGGAAGAGAACTCAAGACTTTCTGCCTATGCAAGTGAAAACTGGATGTCCCGGTTCGGGTAACTTGATAATTAACTTCCTGCTCACGTCATAGCTCCCTTGACGGCCTCTCCCCCTCCCTTTTCCAGGTTTAGGATAACTCTGACAAACAGCGCCTCCTAAAGGCAAGAGTTACAACTTTCCTGCCGGACAGCTAGGGATTTTCCCAGGTTAAACCAAAGACTGCTGCAAATGAACTCTTGGAAGGCACTGTTTTTAGCCTTTCCCTTGGATCACTAAGATTGGAGAATCAAAAAAGAGAGAGAATTGGAAAAGGTGAGAAGGAGAGGATATGAGAGGAGGGAGGGAGGGAAAGAAAGAAAGAAAGAAAGAAAGAAAGAAAGAAAGAAAGAAAGAAAGAAAGAAAAGGAAGGAAAGAAGGAGGAATATTTTCCTCACCATCTCCTCCCCCAAACTCATTTAACCTTTAAAATAAAACCCAAAAAGCTCAAGAAAGGGTGGTCAGCCATATTAACTCTTTCTCAAAAAATTGCATGTGCAAATAAAAACATTTTTAAGACAAAAAAAAAAAGAGGGAGAGCTAGACTATAAGCCCGTTTGGAGGTATTTTCAGGGAACTCAATTAACAGCAGACAAAGTCGATGAAATCTTTGGCCTCATAGCACATTCAATGCAGCAGGAAAGAGACTTTGGAGACATTATTTCTAAGAATAAAAACAATACCTAATACTTATATGGCAACTACCATGTGCCAGGTACTATATTTTCATTCAATCATCTCAAGTCTCTAAGATAAATACTACTAGTATGAACGCTCTTTTAAGATGTGAAAACTAAGACACAGAAAGGTTAAGTAATTTGACACAGTGAGCTAGTGGGAAAGCCATAATTTAAACCAGAAAACCTGACTCTAATTCACTATACTATAATTCAACTAATTCAAACGTGCAGAGCTCTGGGAAGAAGCACAGAATCTTAGAAAGGTATTTTATCTCTGAAAAAGAAGTAAGATTTATGATGCTTTATTAACAAATATATTAAAGTGCCATTCTCATATCCTTGGCATCATCCAGAGAATTTCTGTGTTTAAGAAAGACGAGCCCTATTACTCAACTATAAAAATGAATGAAATCTTGCCATTTGCAACGTGGATAGACCTCAAGTGTATTATGCTAAGTGAAATAAGCCAATCAGAGAAAGACAAATACCATGTGATTTTACTTACATGCAGAATCTAAAAAACAAAACAAATGAACAAACAAACAAAACAGTAACAGACTCATAGATACAGGAAACTGTTGGTTACTAGAGTGAGGGTTGGGGGGCAACCAAAATACGTGAAGGAGATTAAGAGGTAGAAACTTGCAATTATAAAATAAGTAAGTGATGGGAATGTAACATAGAGCATAGGAAATATAGTCAGTAATTTTGTAACCACTCTGTGTAGTGATAGATGGTAACTATACTTAACATGGGAATCATTTCATAATGTATAAAAATATAGAATCACTATTAGGTATACTTGAAACTAATAGGATATTGTATGTCAATTGTAGTTCAATTTTTAAAAAGCTTACAACTTGAGGGGTGCCTGGGTAGTTCAGTCGGTTAAGTGGCAGACTCTTGGTTTTGGCTCAGGTCATGATCTCACAGTTTGTGGGTTGGAACCCCGAGTTGGCTCCACACTGGCAGTGTGGAGCTTTTTGGGATTCTCTTGTTCTCCCTCTCTCTGCCTCTCCCCCCCCCCCAAAATAAATAAATAAACTTAAAAAAAATAAAATAAGCCTATAACTTGAAGTCTAGAGGAAGGAAGGAAGGAAGAAAGGAAAGAAGGAAGGAAGGAAGAAAAGAAGGAAGGAAGGAAAGAAAAGAGAGGGGAGAAGGAGGGAGGGGGAAAGAGAGATTAAATTGCTCTGCAAGTGTGAAAACTGGAAGCAAGTGTGAAAAACCTGAATGTGGCTTGAGGAAATGATTGTGTATGACACAATAAAGTACATAAGCCCTTTCAACTTTTGTTCAACAATATTAACTATTTAGTAACCTCTTCCTAAGTGCAAAGCACTGAACTGGGCACAGTTAGGAAGAAAGTGAATACAATGCAATGTCTGCCTTCAAATAATTATGACTACTACCATTTCTTCACCTCTTCTTTTCTGATTAACTGTATAAAGTCAACATTATTAGTCCATTCAGTAGATGATGAAATCAAAGTTCAGAGATGCTAAGTATCTTGCTATCATCCCAAAGCTGTTGATCCCAAGGCTACTGCCGCCTGTAACTCCATGTGACATAATGTCTGTAAACATTGGGCAGGGCATGGTGACGCTGCCACGGGGCTTCACCTAAATGCCACAAAAGCCCCAAGGAACAAAGGATGGATCCTGACGAAGATGTCTTGGAGGAGGAGGTATTGAGCTAAGCCTGGAAAGTAGAAGTAGAATAGAGACAAATGAAGTAAAACTTAAACTTTTATCCTAGTGCTCAGTGGAAACACTCAAACCAAGTTTACAGAGGTGAGACCGTGTGCCATGTCATTTGTATTGAATATTTCATACTTCTTCCAATTTGGAACACAGTTACTGAGGACGTGCTGATGGCAAGTTGACAGTAGTGGAAAGAATAAACATTTCTTACAGCATCTTTCCTGATTGGTCGCAGTCAGCTGGGTCTACATGAAAAGCTAGTCAAAACCTACATAGCCTTTTATAGCAATGGGAGTCTGCTACTACCCTGGTGACAAAGAGGAAATACTGGATTGTTTCTTTTTAGTTCTGCCTTGAGAGTGGCTGGTGATGGCAATAGAAGGTTTTTCTTTACAACCAGGCTTTGGTCCAGGTTCTCCACCCTCAAAATTTATAAAAGGAAACTTTATAAGTGTAAAGACTCCTGAACTAAAAAATGGACACAGGTGATGGGGAAGGTAGGTGTATGAACTGGAGAAGAGCTCTGTGTCCTAAAACTTTCACTTTAACCCTGGTCCTGAGGTAGCAGGTTATTTTGATTAGCCATCCCATCACAAACTTCCAGGACCTCCACACCTTATCCACACACTCCAGACCTTGCCAGAAACAATTTTATTCATGGGAGCATGGTGAAGCCAAGTACCAAAGTGGAAGACTTTCTCTGGCAAGGATCCCAGCAGAGATCTCTAACTAGTGAACTGGCAGGAGACAAGTAAAATGTGGCCCATTTTGGATTCACTATACTACAGACTGACCTGTTTTAATATGTCCCTTTTCTTATTACAAAAGTGGTCATTAAAAAAGAGAAGGTAAACTTCCAGTATTTAATGTAGAAAAGCTGGAAAATGGAGAAACATGCAGTCACTTGTAGTCTATAACTAACTTAAAATTTTAGTATATATTCTTTCACATTTTTATGTGTATATTATTTGCCAAAAATTCAATTATGCTGTACAATTTTCTTTTTTCACTTAATAATACACATTTTTTCCCATATCATTACATAATCTTTGAAAACATGATGTATAGTGGCTACATGATATTCCCTTCCATGGATGTTCCATATGTATTTAACCAATTTCTAATTATCAGACATCCAATTTGTTTCCAAGTTTTTGCTATTGTGAACAATGCTGCATAGAAGATACTTATAGAGGGGTGCCTGGGTGACTCAGTCCGCTAAGCATCAGACTCCTGAGCTCCGCTCAGGTCAGGATCTTGCAGTTCCATGCAATGGAGCCCCGTGTCAGGCTCTGCGTTCACAGTGTGGAGCCTGCTTGAGACTCTGTCTCTCCCTTCTCTGCCTCTCCCCCCCCAAAAATAAGTTAATTAACATTAAAAAAAGAAGATACTTACAGACAAATCTTGGCACATTTTTTTATTATTTAAAATAAATTAAATTAAATTATTTAAAACATTTTAAAATTATTTTCTTTGGATGAACCCAAATGTAGAATTAGTAAGCTAATCTTTAATTTCACCCTACCCCAGTCCATCTTACTTTTAAGTGAGCTGGGGGCAGGGGGGCGGTGCCTGGGTGGCTCAGTCGGTTGAGCATCTGACTCTTGATTTCAGGTCAGGTCATGATCCCAGGGCCATGGGATAGAGCCCTGCATCAGGCTCAGCATTTATCATGGAGCCTCCTTGAGAGTCTCTCTCTGCCCCTCCCCCTCAAAAAAAAATTAAGTGAGCTTGGGACAAGAAGCCCGGTAATTCTGAGGTGACAAAAACCTCAAAGTTCCACAAGATAATGATGTTTACTAAAAGATTTTAACAGATTAACATTGGATTCGCTAGGGAACTAGGTGGATGTGGTTAAAAGAGTAAAATATTTTTAATGCTGCTAAAAAAAAAAGAATCAAAAGATAACTCAAAATGGGTCAGAGACCTAAATGTAAGAACTAAAATCATAAAACTCTTACAAGAAAATATAAGAGTAACTCTTCATGACCTTGCCTAATGGCAATAGTTTTGGACATATAATGCCAAAACTTTTAAGCAGCAAAAGAAAAAATACATCAATTAGACATCATCAAAATATACAAATTTTGTGCTAGAAGAGACCCTATTTAGAAAGTGAAAAGACAATCCCCAGAATGGAAGAAATTATTTGCAAATCTTCTATCTGATAAGAGACTAGTATCCAGAATATATAAGCAATACTTATACCAGAACAGCAAAAAGATAATTAAAAATGGGAAAGGATTTGGAGGAACCAAGATGGCGGAACAGCGTGGAAGCTTTTTGTGTGTCTTGCGTCCATGAAATACAGCCAGACCAACACTAAACCATCCTACACACCTAGAAAACTGATTGGAGGATTAACACAACAATCTGCACAACCTGAACCACAGAATTCAGCGGGTACGTGGCATAGAGAGCTGAAGTTGGGGAGCAAGAAGCCACTAAAGGTAGGGAACCCCTTTTGAGGGCAGAGAGAGGACAGAGACTGGGGAGGGGGGGAGCATA